AATTCCTGGGCTCAAGCGATCCTCCTGCCTCAGCCTCCCGGGTAGCTGGGGCTACAGGCATGCGCCACCATTCCCGGCTAATTTTTTCTATGTATTTTTAGTTGTCCAATTAATTTCTTTCTAATTTTAGTAGAGACGGGGGTCTCGCTCTTGCTCACGCTGGTCTCGAACTCCTGACCTCGAGCGATCCTCCCATCTGGGCCTCCCAGAGTGCTGGGACGACAGGCGCGAGCCACCACGCCCGGCCTTACGGTTTTATTTCTAAATCATTTACACATATTCATGCAAAGCAAAATAAATTTCAGGATGGAACCATGGGACCATAGTAGTTTAAAAAAAAAAAAACAAAAACATTTCTCTGATCGTTAGCTACTCCAGACAAGGCGAGAGGCTTAGCACTTATTTCGGGGGGCGGGGGTCAGTGTATCTCGTCTTGCAGGGGACAGGCGAGACTGTCTGTCGTTTGGGGACCGGCTTATTTAGTACAACGTTAAGGACCCCTAGCCCCCGGGGCTCTGCGTCTGGGCCTCGGTGCTGGGTCCTGGTTAGTGCCCGGCCCCCTCTCCGGAGCAAGCAGACTCCGCGTTGAGCGCAGCCCCTCGCCCTGCAGGGCGGCTTCGAGTACAAGCGAGCCATCGTGGACTGTATCATCAGTATCATCGAGGAGAACTCGGAGAGCAAGGAGACGGGGCTGTCCCACCTGTGCGAGTTCATCGAGGACTGTGAGTTCACCGTGCTGGCCACCCGCATCTTGCACCTCCTGGGCCAGGAGGGGCCCAAGACCAACAACCCCTCCAAGTACATCCGCTTCATCTATAACCGAGTCGTCCTGGAGCACGAGGAGGTCCGGGCAGGTAGGTCTGAACTTGGCCTCTCAGCTTGTTCTGGAGCGAATGTCCCGCTGGCAAAGGGACCCGACCCCCCGTGTGCGGACCTATGTACTTGGTGGTCTTGACTGACAAGCTATTTTTTATAATACAGAAAAGACCTTTGATGTCATCTAGTTGATTTTTTTTTCTTTTTTAGAGATAGGGTCTTGCTGTATTGTCCAGGCTAGAGTGCAGCGGTGTGATCATAGCTCATTCAAGCAATCCTCCTGCCTCAGCTTCCCAAGTAGCTGGGACTACAGGTGCACGGCACCACACCTAGATGTTTTTTTTTTTTTTTTTAGAAGTGGGGTCTTGCTGTGTTGCCCAGGCTAGTCTCAAATTCCTGACCTCAAGCAATCTCCTGCCTCAATCATGAGTCACCATGCTGGGCCTCAAAAGGTTCCTTTTTCTTTTTTCTTTTTTTTTGTAATCCTAATACCAGGCTAGCAAACAGCATCGAATGGTTCTTAATCTCTATAATTTATTGATTTCAAAAAAATTTTTTTTTTAACTGTCACTATAATATGTTGGTGTTTAGGTTTCTTTTTTTCTTTTTTATTTTTTTGAGACAGAGTCTCACTCTGTCGCCCGGGCTAGAGTGCTGTGGCGTCAGCCTCACTCACAGCAACCTCCAACTCCTGGGCTCAAGTGATCCTCCTGCCTCAGCCTCCCGAGTAGCTGGGACTACAGGCACACGCCACCGTGCCCAGCTAATTTTTTTTCTATATTTTTAGTTGTCCAGCTAATTTCTTTCTGGTTTTTTTTAGTAGAGACAGGGTTTCGCTCTTGCTCAGGCTGGTCTCGAACTCCTGACCTCGAGCGATCCTCCCGCCTCGGCCTCCCAGAGTGCTGGGATTACAGGCATGAGCCGCAGCGCCCGGCCTATTTAAATGCTTTTTGACAGAGGTTCTTGGCTACGGGGATTGCCGCCCTTATGGGGTTGGGCTTTAGCCGGAGGGACCAGGCAGCGTGAACATGGCCTCTCGCTGGCTCAGTGTTAGAGGCTGCGGGCCCCTCTGTGTTTCCATGCCCTCGTTCCAGTGTTCCCTGGGTACCGCATCCGGGGCCTGAGCGCTGACAGCCTTAAGACGCCTGCTGCCTCCCCCCGCCCCCTGATACAGCCCTGCAGGACCCTTCCCTCCCTCCAGCCACCCCTGCTGGGCTGCAGTCTGGAGCGCCCCTGTGTCCTGCCTGCAGGTGCGTGATGGACGATGACAACGAAGTGAGAGACCGAGCCACCTTCTACCTGAATGTTCTGGAACAGAAGCAGAAGGCCCTCAATGCAGGCTACATCCTCAACGGTGAGCCCCTAGCTTTTTTCTCTGTCCCTTGTCCGGGAACACCCTCCCGGGACAGGGGCAGTTCAAGGCAAGATGTTCCTGGCTGCACTTGTGTGGCAACCTCGTAACATCCCCGTGACAACCAGAGACCCAGGGTCACGCGGCGACTCCAGTGTGTGTGTGGACGGTCCGGTAAATTGCAAAGTCGTCATTAATAAAATTTTTTTTTTTTTTTTTTGAGACAGACTCTGGCTCTGTTGCCCGGGCTAGAGTGCCGTGGAGTCAGCCTCGCTCATAGCAACCTCCAAGTCCTGGGCTCGAGCGATCCTCCTGCCTCGGCCTCCCAAGTACCTGGGACTACAGGAGTAGCTGGGACTACAGGCGTGCGCCACCATGCCCGGCTAATTTTTTCTATATATTTTTAGTTGTCTGGCCAATTTCTTTCTATTTTTTTCAGTAGAGACGGGGTCTCGCTCTTACTCAGGCCGGTCTCGAACTCCTGACCTCGAAGCGATCCTCCCTCCTCAGCCTCCCAGAGTGCTGGGATCACAGGTGTGAGCCACTGTGCCCGGCTAATTTTTTCTATATATTTTTAGTTGTCTGCCTAATTT